TGGTGAGAGAAATTACAGGCATAAAAACAAAATCAAATAGACTCCTTGTGCTCATTCAACATTTCAAGGCATATTTATAGGTACTGCTGCATGGCATCTTAAATATCGCAGTTTAAAAAGAAACTGCATTACTCCTGTTGGGGAAAATAATTTTTCTGTTCTGTCACTTTCACTGTCTTTGCCCCTGATGAAAAAAAGAATAGAAATACACTGAATTAAATACCCATTCAGACCTTGCCGTCTCCTCTTTGAACTGTCTGGATACCTCAGAGATAGATCTGTGAAGATGAGAAGATCTAAAGGTCATCCGAAGGCCATCAAAACTGGTGTAGGAACATGAGAGCTGAACAATAAGCTGCTAATTAAAAGCTGGGGTTTTCTTGCTCTATGAAAGTAGGAAGGGCTTGGTATAGGCGAAGAGATGACCTTGCAGTCCAGCTCCTAGTTGAGTCACTTCCTTAGACTCCTGCATTGCATCCCTCTCTACCTGCTCCCAAGTCTCACTGTCAAGAAAAGCCCAAGAGAAATTTTACCACTGATGAAGATCCCTGCATAAGGGAGAGAAATCCACCCTATTCCACTTTTACTTTCAAGACAGAGAGACCCTAATTCTCATACTAGGTAAGCAGGAGGGAAAACCACACAAACCACAGCTTTGAGCTCCCTGCTGAGTGCATCAAAGTAGAAACAAGTTAACAGGACAGACTGATAGACAGCTTTTCCCTCTAGCCCATCGAAATTCTTTGAAAAGGTATGAACAAAAAAATAGGGTAAAAATTGGGGAGGGTGCTTTTTTACACTTTAAGAGGGAGAATATTCTTCCAAAATGTTCACAGAACTATTGAAAAATGGATCAGCTTTCATTATAGACATCTGAGGCAGAAGGTACATGGCTGACAAAGCTTGTGCTCTGTAATGGTTTGGGAGAAAAAAAAACATTTAGCAGATAATAGTATTTGCCTTGGGAACAGGAGTCAGGGAGCCTCAAGTGGGGAGGACTTTAGATACCGAACTAAAGCAGCAAACTTGCCATTGGTCAAGGACTTGAGGGAGCTAAACTCCTCTATCACATGCCTGAGACTCAAGTGCTCTGTAATCTCTGTGGCATAGACATCTAGGCACCATTGTGGACAGCACATGGCTGCTGAATGGTGAAAGCAGATGACTGGGCAGAGCAAAACCAGAAGGCCTCAAATCACAATCACAAAAGTCAGCTCTTGAGATTAAACTGAGATTAAATCAACCCAGCCACCAGAAGGGTGTCACACAGCATTGCAGAAACACGACTTGCTACCAGACACAGGAGGGCTCTTGTAAAAAGCTCCATGCTCCCACTTCCCCCATGCCCCTTCCCACCTCCACACACACATACACACTCTTCCATATACAGCAAAAAATATCAAGGTTATGTGTTTCCTGAAATAAGGTTGACTGAATAGATACACTTACAGAGAATTCTTTGTAAAGCTATAGCAAAATGAGTAAGAGTGCATCGCTACCATGGGAAATAAAAAGAAAAGTAACCCAACTGCAATTCAGCCAGAATCATTCCAAACCCCAAAGGTTGGCCTCTTTTTTTTTTTTTTTCTTTAATGTGTCTGACATTTTATGGCATCAATAATGCAAACAAAGAGGAAATCATATTTGCAGAACACTAATGCACGGATGTCTAAAGCGAAATACAATACTGATTACTTTTTAAATGAAGCCACCAGGTTTTGATGTGCTGTGGCGGTTAAATTGGTCCATCAAATTCCTTCCCCAGTCCAAAGCAACAGCTTGACCTTCTCTATAACCTTGGATAGCCTTCTCAGCTGCATTCTGATTGGGAATGGTAAATGTTAGTTTGAAGTGATCTTCCTTATGGTCCTGATTTCAGAAGTACCAGGAGCACACATCTGAAGCTGAGGGGAACGTCAGGCATGTCACCACTTCATAGTCTATTCAATGACTTTGACAAACATAACAATAAACCTACTACTAAGACCTGTTGGTGAAAGGATGGATAGGCTCTGAAAGAGATTTCCAGACGTACTAGTAAGATTTTGCCCTTATGGTTAGTGACTAATCTATTCTGCACCTGATAGCTGGTCTCTTGCTTAGACCTTTCTGCAGATGACTGCAGAGGAATGCCTGAGTTTGAAAATAAGTGTATGAATAAGAAGGTGTGGCAAAAACAAATACTTTCCTTTCCTCTTCCAGTTTTTTTAGATGTTAGTGGTTTGATTTTTTTTCATGAAAAAGTGGATTTCAGAGATGCATCTTGGATACCACAGGCAGGATTTTCTCTACACATAAGAGAGTGAAGAAGCTGTTGGGCTCCTGCCTCTTGCTGCTCAGCTCACTCTTCCAGCAAAAGACAAAAGGGCTTGGTTCTGGCCTCCGCTTCCAACCTAACAGTGGGAGCACTGAGTTCAGGAGTCAGGAGATTTATTTTGTAATGTCCTCTGACTTGCACTGAGTGAGCAGTGTGAACTTCTTTAATTTATGCAGTTCTGGTTTGGTAGACTGAGTTAATAGTGTGCCTGTGGGCTAGTGGGTAGGGTTGGATGCCATCGACTCTCACCAGCTGGGAGTTTGTCTGCCATTCAGTCCTGGATGAGGTCTGATCAGTGCACTGTGGGGATTGCATGCTTTGGAGTTAATCAGTGCGAGCAGCTAATTGCCACTGGTTAACTAGTGCCGTTTAATTAGGTCTGGGTTGTTGGATGGATTTGTGAAGGGAGCTGTTTATCACCAGCAAAAAAAGTCAGCCTTGTGATGTAAACCTCTTTAGGGAATTAAAAAAAAAAAAAAAAAAAAAAAAAACAAGCTGGAGCTACTGTCACTATGGCAGGGTAGAAAATCAAAATCAGTTTCAGCAGAACTGGCCTGGATGAGGTTAGAGTCACGCTCTGCTTGGGTCAAAAATGATAGTGGCTGCTCCCCGACCCTTTCTCCTGTGCAGAAGGGTGGGACACCATGGGCTTCAGCTGGGATTTACAGGAGATACCCCACATGCATTACAATGAGCTTTGCTGTAAAATTCACTGCACAGAGGTTAATCTAGATGTCAACATTGCCTGACAGCAGTGAAATTACTCCGGGGCAGTGCTCCTTCTGAAGTCTTAATATAACAGTCAATTCCATCCTGCCTGCAGGAAATGAAAGTTTTCTGCTTTGTGTGCGGAATCATTCGGCGCCAATTTTCTCACTGTTTGAAGTCCAAACTGTTTGTGGTCTTGGGATTCACCTCACATTAAGACTTTCGCTTCATTTAAAAACTCTGCTAGTCAAGTCCTGAGAACTGCAAGGACAGGAGCTGCATAGGGAGAAAAAGAAGAGGGCAGGGGGAGAAATCTTATCTCTCCTACCACATCGAAATCAAACAGCTTCACCAGCCCTCTGTGCTCTGAACGCAGTGAATGCAGCAACTCAGCTATCTAAATATCAAGCAACAAAGATTGGGGAGGTTGGAAACCAGCAGAGAGAGAGAGAAAGCATGCGAGAAAATATCCGGACCTCCCAGAGCTATGATTTTCTTTAGAGGTATTTCAGTCCTTCCCTGCTGGGACCTTGTCCTAAGAAGCCAGTAGTTCAGCAGTTAAACACCCCGACAGAACAACTGCTCAAGTTTTTAGCTGTAGGATCAGTCACTTGTGCTGGGCGGGAGATCAGTTCCCACAGAGGATTCCTGATGGTGTGGGGAAGTGATGGTTAGATTTGTTGTGCCTCTTTTCTCCTTGGAGAGATGCTACTATTGCAGGGTTAGCAGGAAAGAGGAGAAATGTTGGTCACTCCTCCAGTCTAAAAAGACTGCTCAGATTGGGTTTGTGAGAAGTAAAGACATTGAGATGAAAACAACCTGTCAGCTCACTTAGTTCAGCCCCAGAAAAAAAAAAAAGAAAAAAAAGAAAAAAAAAAAAGGCAAAAAAAAGCAGTAAGATTGTTTTCTTCTTTCTCTTTGGTCTCTTATCTCTTTCCTTGGTTCAGTTTGTCAAAGTTGCAGGCAATGGGCCTCCTATCATTTCTCTGAGGGAGCTGTTTCATTGCTCAGTAGTGTACTGGGAGGGAATAAGAGACATGGGAGAGCCCAAATGCTCTGGTTTTCATATTTGAGCAATGACTGACAGCTCTGTTTGTGTCATATATGACACAGCCATCCAGAATGAATGTTTGAAAACACCTATTTTCTCCAGGCTTGAAATTCAATATCTCACTTGCAAAGGGGACACTCATTTTGGGGGACTTAACAGCTTAACAGCTACTTGAAGAAACCTTAAATGTGTACTGATGCAAGAGCCTGATGGGGAGCACCTTAGTGTTGAGCAAGTTTGACCACTCCTGGAAAGCACTGCTGAGAGGGGAAATTTCTCTTTTTATATTCTTGATACTCATTTGGAGCCTAGCTCCACTCCTATTCCTTGCCAGATCAGGAAACAAGGACAGACATGATGCACCAAAAATTCAGCTGCTTGCTTTGCCATTTCATTAACCACTGGGATTCAGTGGGGCAAAGGATGTGGGCACTCCCTGGAGAGGAAAACTGAGCAAGATTTAATGCAACTTTTGAAGATCACATTGCCAAATGGAACACGATCTCCACCCAGAGATGTACATGAATGACTGATGATCAAGTGTCCAGAACTACTTACGGTTTTGTGGGCTTGCAGTGACCCAGGTCTGCATTCTTTGATCCATAGCCTGAATTCAGGGAAACTCACGCACTTGATTTTGGGGAAGTAAGAGCCCTTCATGTGGAAGGAACCAGCTCATGTAATCCTATTATAATCCTGTCTGTGGCCCAGAAAAACTTAACTTTGTCATTCCTTCTAACAGTTGTATTTTCTTATAGGGAAAAAAAAAAAAAAAAAAAAAAAAAAAAAAAAACTAATGAACACAAACCTTGCCTATTTTTTTCCTGCCTGGATAAATGGTCCCTTGCTTTTATTTGTATATGTCTCCTTTTTAAACCAGTATTTGTCCAGTATTGAATTTCCTAGTGTCCTAGTATGTTTCTATTTTCCTTTTTTTTTTTTTATTTGCTTGTATACACTGTGGTACTTAAAATTCTATGCCACACTCCCGAAACCAGTCTCAATTTCCCAACCCAAGATCCTCACTTGCCTTCTACAAGCAGCCCTTCCCTTTCCTTGGCTTTTTTATTTCCCCACATGTTTTACCACCTTGTTCCGCCCACTCCTGGGGACAAGCAGACGGCTCAAAGCTAATGATGTCTCTCAACCATGCAGCCTCTCCAAAGGCATTCCAGACTTTTCACATTTGTCTGTGCAGCACGTGCTCCCAGAGCCACCTGTCTGCAATTCAACACCCCATGGGCAGAGGCACAGGCCTGAAATGAGGCAGCCCAGGCTCTTTTTCACCCCTAAAATACATGCCTCAAGGGATATTTAGATCAATATGCAATTTTTTGTGGGAGACAGGGTGGGCTTCCAATCTGTCAGATCGTTGCAAGTCTTCCCTTTTAGCCACATTTCAGCTTTCATCTTGGAACCTGCCAGACCATGATGGAAGGAAAAATAATGGCTGGGAAAGACAAGACAGGCCACTGATGAGCCCGTAAGGCTGGAGCCAAATTTACTGCCCACACTTTGCAGCCCTGGCATCAGATTGCCATCTGTACCATGCACTAAATAGTGCCTTCCCCACCGGGACAGCATCACATCAGTGACACCCTTAAGGGACTGAGTTGGTGCTCACGTTTGCAGTGCTCAGGAGCAGAATGGTTGAGGTCAGGTGCTGGGAACAAGGCCTGGCCTGCCCTGGACCTGGATGAGACCTGTTGGTGCTCCCATGCCACAGGGATTGCTCTCCCCTCCTAGCAGAGGCTGGGGCAATGGGATGTCGCTATCTTGGAAATGGAGAAGGAGCACAAACTCATTTCTCTTTGCCTCCAAATGTTTCCCACACTGAGACTTATGGCACTCCACAAGGGTTTCCCCCAGATCTGCTCTTCCTCCTCCCTTCACATGCAGTGGGGCAGTGGCAGGATCCCCTCAAGAGCCCCTCGTCCCACAGGGAAGGCGCCACCATCCATGCTGATGGGTTGCTCCTCTTCTGGCCCAGGGAAGGTTCTTCTGGAAATGAGGTCTCGGGGTGTTCACCAGGAACTCAGCACAGATGCTTTCTCTCTTCCCCTCCAAAACCAGGCCTCTCTTCCCCTCCTGACCAGGCCTGTCATACCGAAAAGGGATGCAGCAGTTTCAATCGCATCTCCAAAATACAACACAGCCCCTTCTTCCCCGCCAACAAACCTCCATCCAGCACCACCAGGCCAAGGGGCACAGGGAAGCAGCAGCAGACAGGGAGATGTCACCGCAGCTTGTCCTGCTCTTCTGAGCAATTGCTCACAACTGGCTTTGACAAAAGGGCTTTTTTCTGAGGCAGTCACTGCACTCGGTGGGGCTAACAGCAAAGCAGACAGCCTGAACCTTGGTCTGAGCCAGTTCACATCTTCTGGGGGCCCATCCCCTTGCCTCTCACAGACTTATTCCTCACCACGTGGCCCCGAAGCCTGGTGAGATGCTCAGCTCCTGTGCTCGCCTCACTGTCGTGACCATACACATAGCTGGCACAAGGGACAGGGCGGTGGTGGTGGGGAGGAGAGGAAGGAGGAAAGAAGGAGGAAAGGAAGATATAGCTGTTATGCATAATGGTTCTAGGGGAATAACGGCTATGAGAACACAGTGTCTTTAGGTAATTTGTTGTGTAATTGCCCATGAAAGTGGTAAAAAGAGAAATGAGAGCCAGGGAGGAGGGCGGACAAAATGGTGGGCTGGCACAGGCCAGCACTGTGCCTGGAAGCCACGAGAGCAGGAGGACTTTTGGGGCATGGGGCAGGCAGCCCCAGGGAAGGGATTCCTTTTGGAGGCACTGGGCTATGAGCAGCCACCACTTGTTCTCCCTGCGTACACTCTCCAGTCCTGTCAGCCAAGCAGCCTGCATACAAAGAGAGCCATGCCAGGGCTAGCAACCCTTCAACCAGTTTTTTTCACTTCCAAAGATGAACCTTAGCTGGCGGGTGAGGAAAAGGCTGTGTCCTTATTCCCATATGGTTACTGCCACCCATCCCCTCACCCAAGCACAGACTGAACCCATGGACACTGCTGCCACCACAAACTTCCTTGGAGAATTGTCTCCTGCCTCATTTGAAACCATAAGGTCAGAGCCATGAGTGGGAGGTAGAGAAGGGCAAGAGACGAGGAGGATGAGGAGAGGATGCAAAGCCTTCCCTTTCAGTAGCTGGCCATAACCAGGTCTCAGCCAGTCTCACCCATCTCCTCTTGCATCCTGGCCCTGAACACCACTCTGGCTTTGGGAAGGAGTCAAAATCCCTTCTCCGTCTCCTCTTCCCCTATCTGCATTCCCTTCCAGACAAGCACCACATCCGAGCAGGCTATTTTTGTGCTGGCGATTGTCGCCTTCTCAAAATTGCCTTGACAATGCCTGTGGCGTCCGCTCCCTGCCTCCTGAGAGCGGCTGCCAAGCTGAGGTTCCCCCTCATCCTCCACTACTGGAGGAAAAATAAAAAAGCAACCCAGGAAGGTTTTGTTTTCTCAGCCCAGTCTGGATGGGCAGGATTCAGCGTCTGACTCAGCCGTTCCCCAGATAGGGATAATTTCCTGCTCCAGGGAGGTGGGCTGTTGGGAGGATGCTGCTGTCTCTCCCTGGCTGTCCCCAGCACCCCCTGTCGCTGCTGTCAGCCCTTTATCCTCATTGAGATGCAAGGCTGGCCACTGCGGCCATCCGCTGAGCTGTCTGCTCCTGAAGGCACCTTCCCTTCCTTCCCCCCTCCTCCCGGGGCTGCCTGTGGAGCTATTCTTCAGCCTCTGCATTTCACAACAGCTCAAAGGCAGATGCATCAATCCTTTCAGGGGATGGGGACGTGAGGAGAATGGCAAGGGGGCCGCAGGCAGGTGTTGGTAGGTTCCCAGCCATCTCACAAGCCTTGTCCCCCTCCCTTGCCCCTGCTGGCTTGTGCCTAAGGCTTGGACTGAGGCATGGGGCAGGGATGGGGAAGGGAAGAGGAAAGGGAGGGAGAGCACTGGGATATGCTGACCCCATAGGCACGCTCAGCTGGCATGCAAGCGATTCCCAGCTGGTCTGCTCACTGCAGCCTTCCCCCGTGCATGAAACAGGGGATGCAAACCCTGTCTGCTGAGGGTCTACACCAATACGGCTGTGGTGTGGACAGCTGAGGGAGGGGAACAATCCCATGGCCTCAACGAAAGTGAAGGGTGAGGAGAAAAGGCAAGGGCTGGGGTTGGGGGGGTTGTTCCTCCCATCTCTGCCAGGTGCAGAGAAGAACAGCACTCCTGTCTCGCACACCAGAATGGGTTGGGATGAATCAGGAATGGTTTTTAGGATGCCCCTCAGCCCACTGGGGGTCCCTTCAGTGCCACTGCTCTCCTGCCCCAGAGAGGGAGGGAGGGCTGGGTCCGGCCGACGCGCTGTCTGTGGGAGGGCAGCTGGTTCCCGGCGTGTGTTTTACCCGTAGGTGCCACAATCCTTTGACTGTGTGTTTGAAAGCCTTGAGTCTATACAGTTAAGAATCAGCAAATTAGAAAAATTGTCCTGAAATGTTGGAGGGAGGAAAAAAGGCAGGAAGGCAGAGAGGGGCAGGGAGGGATGGAGAAGGAGGAAAGGGCTTGGTAAAAGAGTTCATCCAGGGGCACTGCCCTGGCTTTGCGCCCATCACCTGTGGGCTGGGAAGGAGGAAGGGAGGCGAGGACAAAAAGGGAGGACTGATTTCACACATTCAGTGCATATCATACAACCGGGGCAGGGCTTTCCTCCCAGCGCTCCTACCCAGGCTGGCATCACTGCTGTAGCCAGACTAGAGCCCTGCCCAACAGCCCGAACCATACTCACAGCAGGGTTACAATTCACTGCTTCATTGCTCGGGGGAAGATACCTTCTCCTTTCTTCTTTTCTTTTCTTTTTTTTTTTTTTTTAATTATATATATATATTTAATTACTTTTTTTTTTCTCCCATTTTTGTTTCTTTTTTTTTTAAGTCTTATTTTTCTGTAACAGCAGCTTCTTTCTGTATTGGTGTGGAATTTATATATAGAGAGATATCTATAAATATATATAAGCCAAACTGCCTTACAGGTCATTTTTTTGTGGGATTTTTGTTGTTTTGCTTTCTGTTTTGTTTTGTTTTGTTTTCAGTGTTGTATGTGTAGCAGGCACTTGAGTTTATATGAAGATGTTTGCTTGGGAGCTGAGGGGCAAAGGACTGGGGAGGGGGAGAGGGAAGGAAGGACGGAAGAAAGGAGCAGGGACTTTTGACAAGTGGCCACTGCTAGCCAAGGATGTCCAGGTAGATTGGTGTGGCCTTGCCCAGAGCATGAAGGATCTTGTAGATCTCCTTGATGTTGAGCCGTTGCTGAGGTTCTCTCTGCCAGCAGCCCAACATGATGTCATAAACCTCCTTGGGGCAGACTCGAGGTCTTTCCAAAACTCGGCCTTGGGTAATGCACTCAATGACCTGAAAGAAAGAAAGAGAAGAATCACTCAGCACCATCTGGGCAGTTTCTGGACGATGTCCTGTCCCGGATACTACTTGGCCATTGAGGGAATGGGAATGCTGAGGAGCCTAGAGGTCCACAGATCCTCAGTGCTCATCTGTGTGTCAGAAATGATAGTTTTACAGGGAGAAGTTTGTCTCCAGAAGCAGTCTTGAAGCTCCTCAAAACTTTCCTCATTTGACACCTCCCTCCCTCACTGCACCCTCCAGGCAGGAGGTTACAAGCAAATTGCGTGATGTTTTAATTGAAGTTGTCAGGTTTTTCCTGATAGTTGAAGAATGAAAAAAAGAAAAAAAAAAGCTTTACAATCCCCAAACTAAACTGATTTTTTACACAGCTGAAATGTTGTTTTATTTCCCTGAAAATCAAGAGTCCTTTCCATTGCAAAGCCCAGGAGAGTTCCACGAGAGAGTTCAGCACTTCTCTTTCTACCTTCATCTCCAAGGGCAGCTTTGCTTCATTTTGACACAGAAAAGCAGTTGGAAAAAAAAAAAAATCATCTCAAATCACATCTGTGATGGAGAAAAAAAAAAAAAACTGCCGTGCTAACAGTTTGTTCTGGGTCAGGTCAGTGCTGCTAATGAGAGAAATGTGAGCTCTTGGACAGCATGAAATTCTCTTCAGAGGGATGCTAGTGGCATCCCCTATGTGTCTGTTTGAGTTTTGCTCACCGAAGGAATGGATGCAAAGGGAACGAGGGTACGAGTTGTCAGAGAGCTGCTATTACCTCCTGGCCTCCTTGGCTGGAGCCGATGAGCCCTGGCATTGCAGCGTGCGAGTGACCTGCCACGCTCTGCTGACAGACGCAGATCCCAAGCAGTGTGTTGAGGGAAGCCACCCAGCAAGGGGTGTTTGGAATTTATCAGTTATGAATAGTAATGGCCCTGCCACACAGCTCAACGGATACTTATCGCTCTGCTGTTTGCATATAAATGCAGAGGGGCGCGATTAGGATCTGCTGAAAGCAGGCCAAGGCGGATGCAGTGTGCAGAGAAGCCTGCATCACGGCAAAGCTGTTGGCAGCATTGACATGTGAGAGGACGTAGGAGGTACAGGAGGTAAGTTATGGTTTCTGACAGGCATCCTGGACATGCAGAGGAGCCCTGCGGTGGGCCCTGTCTCTCCAGAGCAAAGGGCACAGGGCTAATGGACTGGCTGAGGCTTTCAGATTAAGTTGTTCCCTGCCTCATCCACCTGCTGTGGAAGGGTGTCCTCCAGCCTTGAACAAACCTGCTGAAAGTGCTCTGGAGGCCACACAGGCACTGCAGAAAGGGAGGCAAACCTAAACCTTGGCAATGTCCTCACCCAGCGTGCTGCTGCTTGGCCCACCAGGCTCTATGGTGGCAGCCAGGCTGCGCTGCTCTGATGTCTCCTCGTCCAGGAGCTGGTGGAGGCATCAGTCCCCTGGGTTCTTCCCCTTCTCCATGACCAACAAAATGAGCCAAATGAGAGCTAATACAGCTCCCTCCCAGCAGGATAGCGTGGTCTGGGTGAGACTCCTTAGCTCTCAGAAAGAAGTGGACGCAGTGGTAGGACAGGGAATTACATAGCTCTTCCAGGGATGGTAGGAAAACCAATACCCTGCATCTGTGCAGCTCTTCACTATCCCTCCTCCTGCCTGGGGTACGTTTCTCAGCCCCACTACCCTGCAGAGGAAACTGAGGCAGAAAGCACGAGGACAGCTGAGCTCTCTTTTCCAGCCTGCCTCTCACCACACGCTCATTTGTGTGTGTTTGTATTTACCCTCCCAGGGAAATGCGAGAGCAGCTCATTAAGTAGCGTGACAAATAACTTCTGTCGCTGTCTATTCCATTGTTTGTGTCTCTAAAATGTTTGCGTGTGCTACTTTGGGATATGCAGTCAGGCCCCATTGAGCACACGAATGGGCAAGTATTAGAGATGTAAAGCAACACCTTGGATTTGCCATCTCTGCAACTCACTTAATTAAGGGATCTGTATCCAGAAAGCAGAAATGCACATTTCTCATTACAAAAGGTGAAATTTCTGAAATCCATTAGATACACAGTAGGATAAAAATGTGCAAGGTTCCCACACACGGCTCTGTCAATGCATCTGGCTCCTCGTCTATAATACCCCCTGCTATTCTGAGCAAAAAATCTTCCAGTGCCTTTCTGCTGATGTGCCTCAGACCTTGGCTTTGACACTCTGCTAATCCTAGCCAGCCTTCCCTCGACTTTTTTTTACAGCGCAGCCCTACACTGTTATTCAAAGAAATAACAAGGATGAACCAGCCCCTCGGGTCCCATCCTCAAGGAACAGGGGCAAACTCTATAATAGGTGTCCCCGTGGCAAACAGCCCCACAGAAGTGTGCCACATGCTTCAAACACTTTCTCACAAACTGAAGGCTGCAGTAACAGTGTCAGCTACAAAATAAGGAGAAAGAGAGCATAGGAAATGCAGGGTGACTCAATAACTTATATCTGAGCAGTAATTTGGGTATTCTGTCAGCGCCCAAGAGTTTATCAGGTGCGGCTGTTACAGAGCAATGTCAGGAACTCAGAGGGCAGAGACTGGGGATAACCCACTGCATGGCTTTGGCAGAGCCCTTTCATTCCTGCGTGCCTCGCTTTCCCCAGCTCTTAAATGGAGATAATGACACTTTTGCCATCTGCAGTTTCTTATCTCTGTATCTGAAAAAACAAATAATTATCACAGGTGCTGAGGAGAGGACAATCAGCGTATGGATTGCTTTGCAAGCAGCCTGGAAAGCAGGGATGGTAACAAGCAGGGTTTCCAGCTGAAGGTGTCTCAGCACTGTTGTACCTCTGTGTTTGAGAGCTGGAACCAGGGCTGCTTCCCGTACGTGAAGATCTCCCAGAGGATCACCCCGAAGCTCCAGACGTCGCTCTCCGTCGTGAACTTCCTGTACATGATGCTCTCCGGAGGCATCCAGCGGATGGGCAGCATGGTGTGTCCTCCAACCTGCGGGAGGACAAAGGCACGAGGAGATCTGAGTGAACGGAGCCCTGGGGAAGGGAGCAGCCCTTACTTAATGTGAACAAACTCAGGGCCTCCCCGCGAGCTCCATCAACAAGGAGCTGCTCGAAAGAGCTAGGTTGGATGCTGCCTCCCTGCCCGCCCAGGGGCTTACCCGCCAGTCCCACCTGGTTAATATGACGGATAGGGAGTGAAATGTATCGAGATAAATGATGTTGTCTCCTCCCAAAACAGGCTTGTAAAGAAATCAAATGACAAACTGCCAAGCACATCCTCAGACCCTACACTGGTGGTGAACCAGGAGGCAAGGCAAGGAGCAGAGCATTCGGCAAGGTGCTGGGATGAGTTTTGCAGGGCCTCAGTGCTCTGAAGCACCCTCCAGAAATACAGAGAGGGCTTTGTCCCTCCTCGGCAAGGCTTGCTAAAATCCATACACAGGCATCTGCGCATCACCTAATTGCGTGGAAGATTTTTGCACTCATAAAACTGTGCTACAGGCCTTTTCAAAGAGTGCTTTGAATATGTAAATGACTGCAGGACCGCACTGCAAAAAGGCGGTCTGTTTGTAAAGAACAGGCTCTTACAGGCAGGGATATGCCCAGTGTTTGATGGAGGCAGGAAAGCCAGCCCCTTTGGAGAGCCTGGAAATGGAAGAGCCCGTGGGTGAGGTCCCATCAGGGCGTGCTAAGTGAGGGAAAGGCCCTCTCTCCATCACAGTCTGCCTTTCTCTAGGGCACTTGAGTCCAGCAGGTGAAAACATGCAAAGATGTCGAAAGCAGATGGATTTACCTTCAGATCCACTAGAGGTTTCTAAACAAGTGTCTCTAAGCAGGGAAAGTTTTTTTCCTCTGTTCTGTCCTATACAAGACGCACCATCTGTGGGGAAGCAGCTAATTGATAAGCCCAGCCGGTGCTGGGAGCAGCACAGCCACGAGGCTCCAGCACTCGTTTCTGCTGAGGATAAAGCGTCCAAGGGTTTAGCAGTGATGAGAGACGGTGCTTTTGTGGTGCTGCTCAGAAGTCTGCTTGTCTCATTACGGACACCAAAAAAAAGCAAGCGCTAATAACTTTGTAGCACCACAGCTGAATCAAACAGGCAGAAATCTCTCTGGTCCTATGAAGGACTGGGGGAGAGGCTTTCTAGTTTTCCTGCACGTGTGTGCCTATTCAAAATAATGAGATCGTTGTGCTTGTTTGGATGAAAACGTTTCTTGTACAAACAAAAGCTCTCCTCCAAGCTCCTGGCTTTCCAAAGCTCCCACTGGTTTCTGTGCCTGATTAAAACCAGAGTGGGGAAGGGTCAGTACAGAGACCAGCCACGTTTCTTGGAAGCAGGAGGGACGGTGTTGGTGAGCAGTGCTGGAATAGGTTGTGAAATGGGGACATTGCCTTGCAGGCTTTCTGCACGGAAGGTGCGAGCCAGGCCCCTCTGGGGTCTGACAGAATTTGGACCTGGGCTCGCAGCATTGTTCTCAGAGGTCTGTGGACCAGCCCTTTTTCTAACTCTGAAAGTCTCTTTCTACAAAGGAGAGAAGGAGTTTAAAAAGTCTCGGGAACATCTTTCATTCCTAAGTGCAGGGATGCTCAGAACTGCGATGCGTGAAGATAAAAAGCTCCGGGCAGCTCTACACCTCCTATGCAGAGATGCCTTGGCTGGTGTGGTCTCAGCTTGCTGCTCTGCACTCCCAAGAATGTCCTCCCTTAATGGAAATGGAAATACCCTTTCCTTGGTTTGTTCCTTTGAAACCCTGTCTGCAATTTTAGCTCTTTCCTGCTTTCTCAGCTTTTACAAGTTGCTTTCCCTTTCTGTGAAGGGCTCTGAGGAAATGTTATCGACAGAACATGACATACATCAAACTTGATTGTTGCAAAAACTCTTTTGCACTAATGTTTATTTTTTCCTCCTTTAAGTAGCTCTAGCTCTTCAGTTTTCTGGCAATCTCAAAATGATTACAGATTGCCAAGCTCTCTGCATTTACAATGTCCTGAATCTTGCAGGATCATCTGAGATTACAGGTAGTACAATGTATTGAGCACATTTAACTCCCTTTCGAAGAAATCTGAGGGCAGTTCAGAATCTATGAACCAAACCCTCAGCTTACACAAACAGTATTAGCACTACTTCTCGAATGGGAGTGCCCTGAGTCACACCACTAGAGGATTTGGCCCCGAAAGCAGCAGAGAAGCCAGTAGACCCATTTCAGTTCTAATAAACTACAGTGCAGTCAAGGTCTTTGGTCTCCTCTAGACACATCCTAGTGACAAATTGCCAGTAAAGTGACATACACAGTCAATAGCTGTCCCAAGGACGTGACGACATGATCTTGGCTTAGCTCATATGGTAGAGTCCAGCGACTGCCAAACTCTCTGTTTGGCATCTCTGCCCTCTATGTCACATGAGACATGTCTTTTACTAAAAATAAATCCGGTACTAAGTAATACATTAATTCTGTGGAGAAAACAAAGCCAAGCAACGCCCAGAACTGTGCGGATCCTGGCATATGGCTCAGCTGTGCTCATAGGTAAGAACCTCAAAGGTATTCTCTGCACCTCGCACAGAATACCACATTTCTGAGAGCAAATGTTAAGTTTTGCCTGCTAGCTAACTGTATGCAGAACAAGCATCAATTAAATTGCACCACAAAATCACTCCGATGCCTAGCTTAGCACACAAAGCTGAATATTACATTTTAAAGCATTTCCTTCGACTGTCCCTTGGTGCTCCCACTGCAAACTGATTAGGATTAAAATTCCCATTTCACAGATGAGAAAACAGATGTAGGAAGGCAGGGAAAGGTCCTGCTCTGACTCTGTACAGCGAGTGAACGCTAAGTTGAGCCTTCCTGGTCTGCAGTCAGCTGTACCCTGCTTTCTGCTGATGTAGCAAAATGATTTAGAGCTGAGCACAGATGGATTGAGCTACTGATGCCATAGGAAACAGAGTGTGTCCAGGATGAAGGAAGGAAATCTTTTGCATAACATGCAGTGGCTGTGATCTGTGTTATGCCAGCATTCACTTGCATGTGATTGCCACGGCTGCATGCTTCATTTGCAGGACCAGCCATTGCCAAAAGCATGAAAGCAAAATGATGCTATTAAATCGGGCTAAAAAAATAATAATAATAAAATAAAATAATAATAAAAAAAAAACTAGATGCTGTTTTTTGGTGATTTTTTTTTTCCTTTTCTGGAGCCTGTTTACATGGCATGTCCTTGGCTCTGGAAGGAACTGTTACTGTGTCATTAGAATCTGAAAGTTTGCTTTGGTCAAGTCTCTGCTCACAGCAGGCTTCCGAATTAAATGACCTCGCAGGACTCACAGTCTTGATGCTCACCACGAGCATGGTATTGCTGAGCCTGTCCTGAAATAGTCAGGTCATCTTCCCACCCATCTGCCTCCATCCCCCTGGGGAGCCAGGGACAGGAGACCCCAGGCTTCATTCAGGTGCACATCCCAAAGCCACGAAGGATGAAACATCCTCCGACTGCAGCACTGCAACATCTCCTCCCTCAGAGGCACTCCGCAACCTGGAAGAGGCTTCTGCTTTCAAGTAAATATGGCAAGCAAATCCTCTGCTGTTCTTCCCCTTAAATCCTACGATGCTGCCAAGCTCCCCCTTTCTCCTTGTTATTTTAATGCTTCATAGACCTGCAGACTGGCCTCTTTATCCCATTGCCATGGCTGTCTAGCTTTGCTTGACATTTTTAGCTCTCTAACTTCCTCTCCCTAGATCAACTCCTCGTGCCCACATTGACATGTTATTCCCACTGCTTTGCTCTTTCGGTTTGCAGTACTATCCTGGTAATAAATAGAGCAATCAGTGTGTATCCTCTGAGCTGCCAAAGTTTCCTTCTTCTGGCTCCATCTCAGGGTTGCAGCATCATCCACTCATTTCCATCGCCTCCTAATGGGTACTCCCAAGGGCACGACCTGGTCTCCAGCCACATGTTTCTGATACTCCAGGGCACCGAGGCTGTGCTCTGAAGCCTCATTACACATCCAAGCCCCCAGACGGCGAGATAACCAGCCACCCCCTTTGAGCAGCTTATTGCTGTATTACAGCTGAACCTCGGGGAGCTGGGGGAGGTTCGTGAAAGGCCAGCGTTAATGGCCATTAGGGAGAGAGATAATTACTTAATGCTAGTACAGCACTTTGAAGATGTAAAGCTATATAAGTGCTATGTACAAGTAGTATTATAAGGCTCTAGGTTTGTCTGCTAGGAAGGAAAGCGGGTGTCTGGGGAAAGGATTCTCCTTGTCCCAGCTTTCTGAATGACATCCAGCTGATTAGGAAGGGAAAAGATGACATGTCATCCCCGATGAGTTCGACAGTACAGCAGCAGGTAGTGGAGCAGCAGCGTTCAGCAAAGGCAGTGCAATATATCTGCAGTTTGGGCCACTTGCAGAGATAACATGAAAAATCAAAACCAGAGCAGAGCTGAAAAACCCTCGTGAGAACGTTGTATGCGCGGGAATCCAGACCTCAAAGCTCTGAAGGCAGGCATTAGCAGGCAGCACTGCTTCCCCCCTCCTGGCCCCCACACTAGCTCCAGGGCTGTACCCCAAGGCAGCATTCAGAGGGGGGTACCGAGCCATCCACACCATGCTCACAGCTGAGGGCTGCTTCAGAGATCTCAGCTCAGAATGGAATTTGCTCTCTGGCATGCTATAAGGCAGTCTTTTAGTTTTCCTTTTGTGCAGTTGCCTTCCCAACTTTGAAGTAAAAAAGAAAAAAAAAAATGAGAGAAAGAAAAAAAAAAAAGTAAATAAATAAATCAGTGCATTGCTTTCCAAGGTCATTTGACATTTGTTTTCCATGGCCATCTGACAGCTGTATTCCTGCTCCTGGCTTACTTTGGGGATGTTCTGTTCCCGCTCCTGCCTTGGGAAGTCACAGCAACCACTGTGAGGTGCCTTTGTATGGTGCAGCATTGCTTGAATGTCTCTTAAGTGTGCAGGAAGCCGAGATGTTTGAGTTTGTACA